TCCCTGGATGAAGCGGGAGCCCTGCACCTCAGTCAGAGAGGGCTGGAGGGACTGCTCACTCTGGCTGGTGATGACGAGGCACACCAGGCTGGAGTGAACCACCACCTCATCCACCACATCCTTCAGACCTTCAGCCACAGACAAACAAAATTAATCAGCATCAAGGCCAGAAATTACTATTGGTCCCCATTCGCACAAGAAAAAAAAAAAAAGTATGATTTACTCTGTGCGATGTGCTGCTGTAGCAGCGCCTCAGGGCCGTGTTCATGTTCAGGTGAAGTTGGTGCCCGCGCCAAATGATCCAGGTCATCAAGTAGAACAACTGAAGGCTGCTTCCATTCTGCCTGCTCAAAAATGTCCTGCAGAATCTGTCTCACAGTTTCTGCCCTTTTGCCTAAGAAAAAAAACAAAAAAATACCCACAAATTTGCAGATGAATAAAAAAATTCTATTTAATTTCAGCTTGTTTTTTACGACACTGTGTACGTTTGTGGAGTCTGTAACCTTGTAGCTTTTTGCAGTCCACCACCTCCACATGTGCATCCAGATCTTCACTGGCTTTCCTGCAGAGGGCTCGGGACAGACTGCTCTTCCCACTCCCCTGTGAGAAGAGTACTGCATACTTTACAAAACAATCCTTGTTAAGATAAAAAGTTGCTTCACTCCTCCTGTGTTTTCTGGTGACCTTCGGCTGACAAAATTATTGCTGCTCATTTTCACAAAATTCCTTTGAGAACCGTAAAAATGTCTGTGTTGTCCACAGCAGTAGTTAAAAAATACCTTAGCACCAGTGATGAGTAGTGCTCCACCTTGGAGTCCCTGTCCAGTAGTGCCAAGTTCTTGTGAGAGGGGACTACCCAGAAGGCTGTGGGAGATAAACTCAAATCCAGCTCTACTAAGCTCATCGATTGCACTGAGAAAAGACAGTGAAATGAAAAATACAGAGTGAATTGAATGCTGAAAAGGATCCTTGTTTAAACCATGCACAGGTGCCGAAAGAGCAAAAACAACTTACCCAAGAAAACTGAGGGAGGGAAGCTCTGGGTTTGGCGTTTGAGCTGCAGCTTTGACAAATGGCACAGCTACAGGCTCTCTGTCTACCTGATGTTGACACAAAGTGACAAGTGTGAATAACACCTCAGAGACTTTTTGAAAAAAGACTGCTCTGTCCATATGGTTTGACAATTTGACAAATTGAAGTAGAATATTGCATTTTACTATACATGCAAGACAACAATACCTGTATGTGTTCCTTTTGGATAACAGTGGGTGCTAGTAGAAACAGCTGATCTGGAGGATCGTGCAGTGGTTCTGGCTTCAGCACAGTTAAAGAAAATTCTAACTTTGCTATAAATAAGACAAAAAGGAGGGGATTATTGATATTTTATTGTAGCTGAAAGAACTGCTATATTAATGCATGTATTGTGAATTTTTCCGCTTTGAAATTAAACATTTTGGAATCAATATTACAAAGCTACACGCAGATTTGTCTGTATATAATTTATAAATACGCTCCTCAAGCTTGTAACAGCAGTGTAGCAATGAATCACCATCGGTTCCATGTAGGAGGACGGTGCCAGACCGTGCTGTCAGACAGGCTAAAGGTTCATGACTCTGTGTGTGCAGCCAACCAAGGAAAGCTGTCTGGATCTCCTCATCATCCTCCTCAGGCTGATGAGAAAATGCCAAAGATCAGATAGACATAAAGGAGAGCAGCGGATTAAATCTAATGCAGCTTTGAATAAACCAAATGTTCTTAGACTTTGTTATTGACGTCACGCATTGTAATCATGGATGTCTACTCCAGCACTCACCAGTGGTTTTAGGGGTTGTAGGCGAATGGTCGACGCTACTTTGATAGTTGATTTCACCGGCTTAATTCTTACTGTTGAATGTGGCAGGATGTTTAATCTGCTGGCCAACGATTGTGGAATCTGAAAAAATACATCTTTTATATCAGATATGCTAACATATATGGAAGAAGACGAAGCTACAGTAAAAGTATCATAACTAATCTGAACTTAGATAACTATCATATATTCCACTGTTAGACATGATACTCACCCATACTCTTCCACTATGGATCTCTCCCTTGCTTTGACTTCTCTCCTTGCCTGCTAACATGTCAGTACCATGGCACACTGTCCTGACCACCATGGCTTCCTCTTCCTTCACCTCCTCTCCTCCTTCAGCAGCAGCAGTCCCATTTTTAGCAGCTCCTACGTTCTTCTTTTTCTCCATGGCCTGCTTTGCTCTGTTCCTCGTTTCTTTAGGGGATGAAACTTTGGAGAGAAGGCCATATGTGACAGGAGACTGACCTCCACTTAGCCACCTCGCACTCAAATTGTGGCTCCAAGGAAATAAGTGAATAACACTTGTTGCAACATGGCTTATGGTGCAGAGAGAATCGGGGGGTGCACCGCACACTCTGTAGACAGAGTCAGTGAAGAGGGCAGGAATGTCGGGTACAGGCGGTTGCCCTTTAACCGGGTCATATGTGCCCTTTATCATATAGCGAAGCAGGCTCTTCAGGTCAGCTATGCCACCCCACTGGTGGCTGCAAGTTATAGAGGCAGAATTTTCTGGTGCAGGTCCTGAGGGAGAGGAGAAATCCATGTTTTGCTGTCTATCAAAATCCTGCTTCTGGCTGGATCTCCCTTGTGAAACACTGAGGTTGCCAATTCCAGCATGTGTCTTCGGAGACACCACAAGTTCTGTGAACTGCTCCAGGCGACCATAGGGCACAGATGGGGAGAGTGAAGCTGTTTAAAGTTGAAAACAGATCATATTGTTAAATAATACTGTCTATCAGCATATCTAAATCACAAAATCAGGAGATGAACAAATGTTTTAGTTAGAAGTCTTAGAAAACTTGCTGAAACTACATAACTGTAATATCTGAGGGTAATTAAACATTAAAGTATTAGATATTGTGGCACAAAGTAATCAAAAACTATGTTTGGTTTCTTATTATTTTTACGTTTTGGACATTACAACGGCTGTTTGATCATTTGACAACAGGACAATACAAAATAATTAAACATACACACGAACCTATTTGGATGTAGATGACGGTGTGGTTGTCCACCCACACAGGGAAGACAGCATCTTGGTAAACCACTCTGATCTGATCCAGAAGTTGCTGCTCCAGTGCAGCACTATGGAGCTCCTGGGGATTTCAGTAACAAGAAGCAGATAATTAACTAATGCTTTAAAAATGTTGGTTTTGGTCACCGTTATACTCCTGAGTCGGCTTGTAGTCATCAGAGAGTGCATTTTAAAAAAAAACAAAAAAACAACTGCATACTTGCATGTTACACATTACTGTAAGTCACGATGGTACCCACCAAGATCTCCCAGTCATCAGATGATAGAGGCTCCACAAACACCTGATGCAATGATGAGACCTGGTGACATGGTCTTAAGAAGCCCTGAGAAAAACCACACAGCAAGTCAGTCAATTCTAACCTCGTCAGCTGAGACAGTAACTGATAAATACCGTAAGCTTGCAAAAGACTTCTAGCTTGTATCACATAGAGAAAATAACTATTCATGCGGGGAAATGAAGCAAAGAACAAACTCCTTTACCTGCTCTCCATCTTTTAGGCCCAGCCTCTCTCCCAGCTGCCGACACAACTCCACATTGTGGCTGTCCAGGCTGGAGGAGGTTCTGTTTTGAGTCCAGCTGAGGAATACTGGAGATCCATGGCCCCAGGACAACTCCAAAGCTTGGTTCTGAAACAGACAGACAAAAAGGATATGTTTCATGTTATACTTTTTGTGTACCCTAGCACTTTACCAATGGGATGTCTGTATCACAACCATCAGCCCTTTTCCTTCCCTGCAAGCGGTTTCTCCACATTCAAGTCATTTTACATAGCTTAGACTATTAAAAACAGAGCTATCCCAGTTCTCATTTCTACGTAAAGAAGATGTCAAACTGGAAGACAGGACAGCTAAGAACAAAAATAGAGAAACAACCTGCATAATCTTCATCAGAGATACTGTCTGAGATAGCGTTTACTTTAGATATACATGTATGCTAACTAACCATAGTGAAACATGATGCAAGGCAGTGCAGTCATCTAGAATAAGGCTTTACACAGACTCCTGCTTCATTTCTAATGTGGTACTTTGTCACCACCAAGTGAGACTCTAAAGGCACTACATCAGAACTGGTGAAGTCAAGATGGAAACTAGCAGTGAACATAAAAATGAACACTGCCAATTACCAACTATTTTCAGTCCCCTTGTGTAAAGAGAACCAACTTTCTGACTGACTCAGTTTACCTGTATACTGAATCCTTAATAGGTCTCTAAAAAGGGTTTCCAGCTGGGCATGTAATGGATCCTGTCGAGTGTCATTAAAAACTCCTTTTCACTTTTGCTAGTAAGCATGCCAACATGAAGTACACAAGACTAAGTTAAGCTCATCATGCTCACTAGCATGCTGACAAGCTGAATGTAACTTGGTCTTGAATAATTTAGTATTGTCGGCAATGGGAGGCAACTTTGACGAAAACGTCACAGAGATTAGCCAACAGCATTGTTAATTCTGTATATTTAAAAAAATATATATAAGAAAGGAGTAACACGCAAAAACGCACGAAACATAGTTTTTGTAAACAGGCCAACGAACTAACTAACTGCTGCTGCTACGTTGGTAGTCAGCTAAGCTAACTTACCTCGCTCAGGGAAAGATGCGATATCAACTTCGAGGGAAGGTGAAGAAAGCAGTTTTTTGTGTTGTTAAAAACAACACTTACGGGTTGAATGCCCTGACTGCTAAACATAATTTTCACATTGCTTATTTAGCTCTGTACATGTCAAACAGGCTGCTCCGTTCAATGTGCAACAAACCCATCGATATGCTCTGACAGCGACCAGCCAGACCAAAGCAGCTGATCGTCAACTGAGCTGCATTTCAAAATAAGACATTCAAAGCGATCGCAATCACTTTCTACATCGACCGAGCACTTATTTTGAAATAAGTCAGTCGGTGATTCGTTTCCACAAACATGGCGGCTCCTGTCAACAAAAACGACTGTTGGAGAGTCCCGGAGGTTTACAAACACCACGAACAGCGGAAAGTATGCATTTCTCGACCAAAATACAGAGAGGGAAGAAAAGACAAAGCGGTTAAGGTAATGAACGTGCTTCTATCTGTAAATATTAGCAAGAAAAACAGAGTGTAAGTGAGGCTGTGAGACGATGCGACTCCCAGCTGGGTTGTAAACGTAACTGAAAATCTACATAAATCAATGCAAATAATCTAGAATTGTGGTTTTCACGCTGTAGTCCTGCATAGACCTTGTCATTAGCATGTAGCCTTTAGCACATGTTAGCCAAATGTTGCCTTAACATGATGGAGCACATTTGTTTTGTGTTTTATCAGGTGTACACCATCAATTTGGAGTCCCGTTACCTGATGGTCCAAGGGGTCCCAGCCATTGGAGTGATGACGGAGCTGATCCAGCTGTGTGCTCTGTACGGAGCCGTGGAGGAGTACAGGCCCCTGGACGAGTATCCTGCTGAGGAGTTCACGGAGGTCTACCTTGTCAAGTTCCAGAAACTCACGAGTGCCAGGTACAGGATGCGACTTACCTGATTCATTATACTTCAAAGTTTTGAAAAAGATGTGCAAAATTATCTCGCTTAAAAATGTGTGTTTCAGAGCAGCAAAGCGACACATGGATGAGAAGAGCTTCTATGGTGGTGTCCTACATGTATGCTACGTCCCAGAATATGAGACTGTTGAAGACACCAGGTTGAAGCTGCAGGACCGGAGGGGTTACATAAAAAGGGCTGCTCACTTTAGAGGTACAAATAATTTATTCTTAAAGAAAACACTACTGTGCTGATGCTGTCATTTTAGGTGAATAGATACTACAGTAAAAAATAAAAATAAAAAAATCCAGCAATGCCAGAACGAGCAAAAGATTTTCTTAAACTTAATTTAGACTCAGCTGTGTTTTGTAGGTTGCAAAAACACACCTTTTATTGAGATTGTTTTCTCTCTCTTTATGTTGTAACAAAGCGAGAGAAAGGGAACAGAAAGAGGCAGTACATGAGGAACCCACGTCATCAGAAACAACCACCACACCAGAGCAGAACATCCCCAGACACAGTCAAACCTTTCACAGTAACAGTACAGGGGAGACTTCGAACATCAGCCAATATTCAAGCTTTCCTATACTGCCATTACCTCCCCAAGAACAACAGTTTTACGGACAGAAAAATCAACCCGAGACTACACCAACAGAGGACAAGATGGGCACGTTACATCATGCAATCACTGACTCAAAGCAGCAGCGAGTGCAGAGTTCGAGCTCCAAGCAAACTTTCTCCAACAGAGACCGCGGCGCAGAACACAGACTGACCTCAAATCAGCCTCCTGCGGTCAGGTTTGTCCCGAGGACCACAAACTTGCAGAACAGAAAACGCAAAATGGAAGAGGCTGGTAAGCATTCAGTGACTGTTTCTGGACAAAATGAGCCTTTGATTGGACCCAAACTGCCAGAACCATCCAAACTGGACATGGCGGATCAATCACTTAACACAACTGTTGGTCTGATCAGGAACACAATGAAACAGGTTGGGTTCTGATAGTAACTAAGAATAAAACTAATTCTCTGCTATAATCTAAACGTCTTTAAGCATGTCACTAAAATATGTCATCTCTCTTAGGTGGCATCAGTTCCTGACCTGAAACCAGTGGAGAAAAAGGTCAAACCACGACGTCGGATTTGATCAAGCACAACTGTACAATTTAAGAAAACATTACCATTTGAAAAGTTTCCCCTAACAACTTCTTTCGGAGTTCAAACAGTTATTACATATTTTTTTTTAAATTAAAGACAGTGAGGTAAAAAATGCACATTAGTATGGTTTCTTCATTGTTTCATCTGTTCTTGAAATACACGCTGCTCAAATGCCTCAATACTCTGAAAAACAAGAAGATTAGAGAAGATTAAAAATTTTTGCCATGGAAATTTAAGCAATTACAGTTGAACATCATTTAATTTGTGATTACCATGGAGTCAGGAAGACAGGTTCCAAAGGCTTCAAGATAGAGGTTCTCCTCTCTCACTGTCTTTTCAAAGTCTTTAAAAGACACTTTGCCATCATGATCATGGTCCTGTGGAGGACACGACATTGGCAGGTGTTGACAAATTATCTACAGATCGGATAATTGTTTTTTAGCTCCTGAAAACACCCAATTTAAAAGCTGATCCTTTGATAGTACCTCCATCAAATGATCAAACCATGATATTTTGGCATCAAACATCTCACCATCTTCTTGAGTGTGATCTCCACCAGGTCTTTGACTGCTTCATCAGGGTCCTCCTCTGGGGGCAGTCTGACGAAGCCGTCCTTCAGCCACCGCCACATCTCCTCTCTGGAGATGAAGCCGTCACCATTCGAGTCATACACGTGAAAGCAGTCTGAGGCACAGAAAAAGATAATGGCTGTTAGCTGGATAGGCTTAGAACTGTGTGTGTGAGCGTGAGAGAGGGTGAGCTTAAGCACAAAAAGAGAGGTGGAGAAGTTACATTTCATTTTTTCATCCAAGGTCCCCCGAAGAAAAACAGACAGTCCCTCGATCCACTCTTTCATACTGACAATGTCATCATTGTCTTTGTCAAAGGCCCTGAAGACTGGAGGACACACAATCAGTTACATTCAGAACATGCCAAGGTTAGCAAACAGTCTGAACTCAGTCAATCAGTAGCTACAACTGGCAGTTATCGAATGCCTGCTAGTCATTTTTGACTCTTTAAATGTTTAGAGGCATCCAAAGATTGAGTATCTGTCATTCTGACATACAGTATAGATTCTGACCAGACTTACCTCAGGCATCGAAGCTTCACAACATAGCACTGAGTCAATGCATTACATCAACGCACAGCTTTTAAAACAGTATATTTATCCTTTACACATCTCCAGTTGTTAACACCATGTAGTAGACTAGAAAAGAACTTTATTGATTCCCTTTGGTGGAAACCTCAGGGAAATTGTTGTACTAGCAATAACAACACAACATTAGTAATGATAGTAATAATAATAATAGTGTCTATTTTTGTACATTCTTGGGTGAATAATTTTCACTGTAACACAAACAAAACATAGACAGAACACCTTCATCCATGAGTAGGTCGTCGGTGATGTCAAACATGCGGTGCAGTATGCTCCTGAAACTGATTCTGTCCAGGCCCTGTGCTGCTCTGCCAGGGCTGCTGGGCGGCCCCAGCAGCATGTTGAACTCTCGGATAAGGCACTCAACTTCTGTTTGATCAACTAGGAAACACATAATGGCAAACATTTCACATTTTAAGATATTAGTTATAAGACTTTAAGCACTATTGGTGGCTGCTAATTTAAACTATGAACTCTAACGTATATAGAGGCGCGCGCACCTCACTATTAGCTACTGTAACTGCTGGCTTAGCTTAGCACGAGATAAGTAGTCAAGGAGAAGTTAAGCCGTGATACTCACAGTGCTCCACTTGTTTGGAGATAGTTTCAGCAAGACTACGTATCACCTTTCTGTTCATAGCAGACATTTCCGACATTTTTTCCAAGCAGGACGCCGGACGGGCTCAGCACGAAGAGTTGGCAAAAGCGTTGCTATGGCAACCGCGAAGGATTCAACGGTGCATTCACGTGCGTATAAAAAGTATGCACACCCCTTGGAAGTTTTACTCTTTAATCGAATTGAAGTGATTGCTGCAGTATTCATCCCCTTTGAAGTGCCTCATCTAATTCAACACAGGTGCAGCCAGTTCGTGCAAGAAGTCACACATTAGTGAACTGGAGATCATCTGAGTGCACTGAATGTGTTTCAAGTGAGTACAGTGTAAAGACACCTGTACCCGGAAGGTCCAGTCTCTGGTGAGTCAGTGCTCCTGGCAATAACTACACCATACAGACAAAAAAAAACACTTCAAGCAACTTCATGAAAAGGTTATTTAAAAGCACAAGTCAGGGAGTGCACACAAGAAAGTTTACAAGTCACTGGATATCCATTGGAGTACAGGTAATTCCATCATTAAGAAATGGAGGGAAAATAGCACATGCGTAAATCTGCCAAGAGCTGGTCATCTTCAGAAACTGAATGACAGCGCAAGAAAGAAACAAGTGAGAGAGACCTCCTTCACAATTCTACCGTGGTGGCAGTATCATGATGTGGAGAGGCATTTCAGCAGGCCCTGAAATGGCTTGTAAAGGTAAAGGGTAAAATGAATGTAGCAAGTAAAGGGAAATCCTGGAGGACAATCTGATGCAGTCTGCAAGAGAACTACAGCTTGGGAGAAGATTTGACTCCAAGCATACAGCCAAAACTGTACAGAAATTGTTTAAACAGAACAAAGTGAATGTCAGGATTGGTAAAGTCAGAGCCCAGATCTCAGTCCAATTGAGGATTTGTGGCTTGACTTGAAAACAGTTGTTCACTCATGATCTCAGTGTACCCTGACAAAGCTTAAACAGTTTTGCAAAGACAAAAAAAATGGGGTAAAGTTGTAGTGTCTGATTGAGATCTAGCCACAGGGTCAATGCTGTAACTGCAGCCAAAGGTGCATCTACTACTGACGTGAAGGGGGTGAGCACTTATGCAATATCTTATTTTCAGTTTGACTTTTTAATTATTTAGGATTACCTTGTAGAAATCAGTATTCACCTTGACAAGATAGTTTTCAGCTGACCAGATGTTAAATTAGCCTTTAAGGAACAGTAAAACAGCAACATGTAAAATAGTCCAGTTAAGCAAACAATTTGCACAGTGAAGCCGGCTTCAGACAGAATGTTTTTCAGGATGAGTAACTTGGCACAGTAGTATGAAAAAGTAATGATCTGATAAACCCAAATAATCAGATAAAAAGACAAGTGATCTCTTTCACTGAGGAATCCCTCCTTGTGGATTATAACGAAGACCCAACAAGGGCCCATATCAAGAATTGCCATAGTGACTCTCAGTGTTCATGCTTAAATATAAAGGTCTTGGCTGAATGACTGATGATTCATAAAAGGTCATTTAGATTATACGGTGCATCTCAGAAGACTATTGAAGAACAGGTATTGGTAATAATAAGCACAGCATATCAAATGCAATAATACTGGAGTTTCAGTATCTGGCGTGAACAAAAAATGGTGCAACTAATGTGACCACCTGACATGAGATTCAGAAATCACAGGGTTCAAAACACATATAGCCTTATCCTGTAATTAGAAAGCCTGTATATTGTTATTATTATTATTATTATATTACAAATCTGACTGACTGAATGATTGTTGTTGTTGTTGTTGTTGTTGTATAGAATATATGTTATATTGATTTTTTTTTAAAAGTGAGCTTTTACAAGATTGAATTTCCCTTCTGGGATAAATAAAGTTTTTTTTTTCATTTCATTTCTGTAGCTTCACTTCAGCTTTCATTTCATCTTGAGGCAGAATGTTAACATTGCCATCTGCTGGAGAGGAGTTCTGATTCTTGACAAAACCTCTACTCCACAGCCTTTTCCTTATAAATATGTATATTATGTATAAACACATAATGTTGAAAAAAGTTTAAGGTAATTAAAGAAGTACCTGACTTTATCTTCTTTTCTCATATTCTTGATCTTCTGTCCCTTCTGTGATGTGTCTGTTCAGAAAATAAGTACACAGTCTGACCACAAGGTGGTGGTCAGCTAATCCTTAAAAAGCACAGCGAATGTCTTTCCTATTCATTTACAATGATATTACCTGGAAATCTAATAATTACAATTATTTGAACATATCTTCTCTCAAGATGACAGTAATAGTGATGAAACCATTATTGTAAATGAGCCTCTCTGTGGTTATTCACTTCTAATAAGTACCGCCTCCTTTATGTAATCTCAGTAAGTGAACCAGAACACTGCATGATTCATCAGTTGATATTTAATTAATAAACTACAATGAATTACAAACGTCTTCATCAGATTAGACACAGACTGAACTAAAAACATACAAGTAAAAACAAATGAAATGCAGACAGGTTTGATTTCAAAGCTAACTATTTCAAATCTACACCATGAAGTCACATTTTTCCACTGCTACTGCTTTCTTTGTGTGTTTATGAAAAGCAGAAACAAACCGTCTATGTGTGTATCATTGTGAGGTTAAATGCGTCCACGTGAGGAGGGCGACCTTTCAGTCCGAACATCATATGACCAAGCATATGAAAGTGTGTTTGTGTGCAGGATATGTCCGAGTCACTCGGACCGGTGTGCGAGGTTAGTTCTGATTGGCAGCGTAGTGTCAATCCAGTGGTTTGGGTTTTCGATCATTGAGGTCCACACAGCGACTTCCTCTTCTGTGGAGTCCATCCAGCTGACAGCCTCACCGTAACTCTGACCTGCCATTAAAAACAACCCACACGAATGTTCATTACTGATGCTGCGGGTATTACCAGTGAGTCATTAGCTGCAACCACACACTGTTTTTCTTAATGAGGAAATAGTTCCAGCAACTGACCACCCTTCTGGTACAAGCGTGCACATGCACAGTATTTCTTTATGTTACTCAAGCATACCACACAGCTATCATGAAAGACAGTGTATTACTGGTTTGCTGTCAGTGCAGGCTTACCTGGAAAAGGAAATGATTTTATAAGTAGAACAGAAATAAAGAGGCAATTCCTTACAGAAACTAACAAATCATAATTACAAAATCCAATCTGAAAGCAGTAACATCAAACATTCCCAACAGTCTGCATAAGCAGGCCTCTGAATACCACAACTTTGTGTAAAAAAATTGTTTACAAGCAGCATACCCTCAGAGTTGTCATTTCTCACCACAATACTGACGTGATCTTACTCACAGTGAGACAGAAAACGAAGCTCTAATGTCAGTGCTTTGATCTTCAGCACAACCCACTTCATATCAAGCACAACATCAACCATGAGCAGAACAACACTATCAGTACTGAGGCAAACAGTCTTAGAACTACTAGATTATCTGATAAAACTGTTTTCCATTATGCACATATTTAAAGTTCACTAGTGATACCAACTTCAGCTCATCTTGTAGCCTGTTTGGCAGATTTCAAAAGCGACCAACCCAACCAGGGGATATTTAGCAATGCACAGTGACACTGAGACACAGCGATGACCTCGCTCGGGTGACACCACCATCTGAAATGTCTGGAATGCCAGCGGGACAAAATTCAGTCCAACAGGAAATAGTGAATCTGTCGCTACACCGCTTCTAAACACCACTGCAGAGGAAAAATAAACCTGTATCCCAAACCTGCAAAATGTCACATGAAACTGCATCAAATCTCAGATCACAGCTTTGCACCAAAAAAAAAAAAAAAAAAGGGAAATATTGTCAAAGCTGAATTTAAATAGGTGAAGTCAACTACTAATATATAAATATATATAAGAGAACCAAAGACAAACATGAGGAAGTTATTTAAAAAGCAGAGAGAGGGTTGAGATGTGCCAGATAAGAGATAAGATCTGCTGCACAGACCGGGCTGGTATTCAGAAGCAGTGCAGCAGAGGAGAAAGTAATGCTGTCTCTAGACGCTTGTGACTCTTCGAACGTTAGCGCCACACCTTACTGTCGACCGCACTATTGCCCATCACAGATAAATAGAGCCCTGCAAAACACATCTACGAGTTTTTGATAAACCTTCTACAAGCATCTTTGTCTGTTTTCAGTGTTAAGTATCGGTGCTTAAAAAATCCATGATTAAAAATCTGGTTAGCTGCTTTTTATTGTCAGCTGGTTCAGATTAACCTATTTCATGAAACCTGATATTCAAATTGTGATATTACAGGTTAGTATTTAGAAAAATATCAAGCGCACTGGATGCGACTATATCTATGGATGCAAAACTGCTATTTGTTTTTAACACAACAAGAAGCAGCACTCTATACCAAGAACAGAGTGCCACTAATCACAAGGTTCAATGCCTGCACTCGCTAAAGTGTCCTTGGGCAAGACACTGAATCCAAAGTTGCCCCTGGTAGCAGGCGAGCACCTGGCATGGCAGCTATGGCACTATTTTTGTGTGTGTAAATGGAAAAGTTGAAAAGCTTTTACCACCATTTCCCATTTCAGAATGTCACTTCATCACAATCTTGCATTACTTCAGTTCAACATGACATGAAGCCTTGCTGAAGGTGGATTTGTCAGTTCATTTCTTTCTCTACAATCTTAAAAAAGAGCAAAATTATGGTAACTCGGAACAGTTGCTCTTTTGTAACGTGAATGTGAAAAAAGAAAAAAAAGGACAGTGCAGAGATTCTCACCACTTCCACTGCTCAGACGGATCCCTCCTAAGCTATGCGTCTTTAACCCTTCACGGTGCCAGACAGTAAGCTCAGCACAGGCCTCTCTCAGGTCGCTGGTCTGGAAGCCGTCGTACACCATGGTGTGGTTGTAGGTAGGGCTGATGGAGTGCTTCACCACCCGCGTCTTCTGACCGCTCTGTCGACTGGCGTCTGGCAGTATGTAGCTTGATGGGTGCAGAGAATGAGAATGAGCAGAGTCATTTCAAGAGCAAAGTCAGGGGTACGCATGAAGCAAAACACAGGTGACAGAGCCCCGATTCATATAAAAGAGATCACATTTAAAAGTTCAATCTAATGAGGCGAGTAATCTCATGAAAAGCAAACAGAATACCAATAAAAGAACAAACTCCTAATTTAAAAGAGCTAAATGATACATGGGTGTGCATGTAAAAATACAGCAATGATTAATCCTGAACAAGCACAAATAACATCTAGTATGAAATTAAAATAAATAAGGTAAAATACGTATTATTATTATATGTTTCTATTCTCACATTGTACCTTTTATACTTTTCCAATATTCTATTTTTATTGTAAATACCAACAATTTGTGCACCTTTTTGTAAATGCCAGCATTTTGGTACCTTATTTCTATTTCTAATTGCATGTTCTTATGTGCATTGTTTCCTTATCTTCCCTTATCTTGAATGTAACCTGTGTGAGCTACTGCATACCTTGAATTCAAGGGGATGAATGAATAATCTATCTATCTATCTATCTATCTATCTATCTATCTATCTATCCATATAATAATATAATAATCCAAAATCTTTCTGTGAATATGGAGAAATGTGATTAATGAATGCAGAGAATGAAGCATCCTGACTACATGTCAAGCCTCCAAACAATACCAGGATAAATAAGTAAAGACAAAATATGAGGCAGTATGTCGCAGAGCAGACACACCTTCTCACAAAGGAGTCTATGGCGCCTCCTTTGTTGGACAGGAGACCTTGAGCCTCCCGAAGCCAGATGTGAAGCTCTCCTGTCAGAGGCAGACCTCCACCTTAAACACACACACACACTCAGTGCATGAGCCTGAGGTGATTGTGGTATAGGACGAGAACATAAATTGCATATCCATGATGTATGTATGCTTTGTGCTCACCCTCAAACCCGTCTGGAATGAATTTAATAGAGAGCATGATGTTCCCTCGACTGCTAATGGAGTCTGGGCTCAGATAAATCTGTGACAGGGAGGACAAAAAAGAAAAAAAGATTAAGTCATAGGAAAAGACAAAGTAAGAAAAAAAAAAAAGGAAAAGCAAGTAGGGAGAGAGGCAGACGTGTGGAAGCTGGAAAAGATTAAGGTTACATAAAACCTTAGTTGAAATTCACAGCATGTCTTCCTCTCCCTTCAGCTCTCCGAGACACGAGAGACACTCCTCCCCATATTCAGTGTCTCCAACAAAGCTGCCAAAACTGCTGCTTACACAGACACTCGAATACTAAACAAATGTACACGCTGGCATCACAGTGTTTTTGTAAATATTTATCAGGGAATATTTCAAAACGGGCATGCCAATTTATGTGACTGCATATTTGCATGCAAGTCACCGACTGTCTTTCTTACCCGCGGCTGCAGGTCCTGCCACAGCGGCTGCGTGCAGCTCCAGTCCCAGAGCCCCAGAGCCACCTCCACCTCCCCCAGAAACACATTCCTCCCCAGGGGCTCGGCATGCCACACGGAGAGGTTCAAAGTCCGACTGCGCAGCTCGCCGATCCGCACTTTATACTGAAAGAATCAGACAAGTTAACACATACCAGGATGAAGAGGGCAAGTGCAGGACAAAGATTACAGGACCTTGCATTTTGTAGCAAAGGAAGCACATCATGAGTGTGCTTTGTCATTTTACAGTATGTTAGATGCTTATGGTGCAGGCCACGTGGAGAAGAGCTGCGAGACTAACGGCAGATGGGGGATTTGATTGCTGCTACTTTATGTAATATGTAGATGAGAGAGGGTCTCACTCGGAGCGTCTGATCATAGACTGGGTTTAGTGTCTTCTTCTTCACTGCAGTCTTCTTCTTACTGTGACTTGACTTGTCTGGCAAGAGATAGGTTTTCACATATCTGTGGGGAAACACACACACACACACACACAGGGATTGATTTGGTGCATGACACTGATGATTCAATATGCACACTCGCATGCACACACACGCACGCACTGTCACTTACGGGTCAGAGCGATTCTTGCGTGCTGAAGCAATGTCCTCGCAGCGGTACACTTTGACTTGCAGCTCCTCCTTCTGGGTGTTGTAAACCAATGAGTATTGGATGCGGCCCCTCACCTCCACCACTCCGAAATCCCCCGAGCTGAACAGACTCATCATGCTTCCACTGAGCTACAACAACGCACACGTAAAACAAAAGATCAGCCTTTACGTCACCGTCCCAAGCTGAGTCATCTTGCGTTGCCGGATAGTCAATTAATCAAATGTGAGTGTGTGCACCGTGTAGCCCGAATGGAGGCTGCTGGTGGAGCTGCTTGTTTTCAGAGACGCTGGATCTGGTTCTGTCAGGCTGCTGCTCAGAGAGTCACTGTCTCCGTTGTGACCGTCAGTCAAGTCATCCTGAAAACACAGCGTCATGTTTAGTCACATTTGTCATTTCAATAACTAATATATACAGTCACTTCAGAAAGTATTCTGACTCCTTTACTTTTAGCCCATTTGGGGGTAGATTTAATTTTAAATGAATGAAGTGGCATTTTCCTCATCAGTCTGCACTGAAAAACCCATAAAGACAAAGTGAAAACATGATTTTAGAAATGCATTCACACTCATTAGTCAATACATGGCAGTAGCCCCCTTGGGAGCAATTACAGTTTGGATTCTTCGTGGGTAAGTCTCTGCAAGCTTTGCACATCTGTATTTAAGCAGTTTATCCCTCTAAAGCTTTATCACACTGGACAGGAAGCATCTGCCATCTTCAGCTCTGGAGCTTAAGTTTGGCTTTCGCTACCTTCCTCAAGGACAGAGTTTTGTCCTGCAGCCACTCCATCATTCTCTTGGTTGTATAACTTAAGTTGCTTCTTGAATAACTTCACTGTGTTTTGGTTGCATTTATCCCTCTTCAGTTCTGACCAGTCTCCCTACCCCTGTCATAAACCCTTATAGCATGATGCTGCCACCGCCATGCTTTACTAAGACACTGCATCAGCCAAGTGATATGCAGTGCCTGGTGATCAACAGAACTGGTGTGTGGAGTTCTTGAATTTTTGCCTCATTAGACCAGTAAATCTTTTACATTTTGGTCTCATAATGGTTGAACTGCAGTGTACTGATGCTTATCTGAAAAGCACAAATTGAGATTTCCGGGGTTTCATACATAGCAAACAGCAGGAGTGGACGTTCTCTATCATTACCCTGATTTCCCACTCATACATGTATAACTGAAAGACTCCAATTTATATACAACTCGCCATTGAGTAACTTGAGTAGTTTTATAGTGTTTGAGCAGAGTCTGAGGTGAGCTGGTGTGCTCGAGCTGCAACAAGCATTGGAGTGGTGGGTGAAGAAAGCAAAGGGATTCCATAGCTCTGTGCATCTAGAGGAAATGGTGAAGAAATCGAAACCATTTAAAGGCATGGAAGGATTACTTTTACTTTTGTCTTCATGGAAAAAAGTTCTATTTATGATTTTTTGATACACAGAGATGTGTTTTTAGGGGTTTATTCAACAGAGAGAGACTAGAGAGCAAACAGATGCATCTGACCAATATCTGGAATACCAAGGCAAAGGGTCGGAATATTTTCAGAAATGAGGGATTTCAGTTTTTAATTTTTAATGAATTTGAAAAAGAAATGTTTTTACTTTGTCACTGTGGGTTACTGACAGTAGATTGCCCGCAGCAAATGCCAAAAACCTCCATTTTAATTACGATCAACTACACAAAGTATGCAAAAAGTAGTCTAAAGGCATGCTGGAGCCACTGTATGCATAATATTCTTAAACTGCTCTATCAACAACATGTTTGATGGATTCGCACATTAAATTACTTTAAAATACTGGCACGGCGAGTGTGGAAAGGAGGTGGAACAGAGGCCAGTTAAACACAGTGTTTACCAAGACCATTATTCATGGTAATCTGGGTGTGTGGGTGTGATATAATCACCTCAGGTTCCTCTGAGTGGCCATTACTTCTCCTTTCGCATTCTGGGAACACAATGATGAGTTAATGATGGTACAAAGAGTGCTAAAGAGGTGCAGTGACAGGGGGAGAGAAACTTTCATACCTGTGGGTGACGCTGAACCATTTCTATGCTGGTCATCCTGTAATTTAAGATGATTTATTGGTATTTAGATGACTAGAAAGTATTTTCAAGGACGAGGAAAACAACCATGCATGCACACACAGACCTGCACTACAGAATTTTTTGTTCTGGGTGTGGGCACAGGCTTCAAATTTCCTTCACTCCTGAAAAGAAAAACAAAAAATTGGAAACTCAGATATGCATGAATGTCATAAGCAGGGATTTTTCTCTGACAGACGCCTTCACTAACCCTTCACTCTCATCGTCCTTGCTGTCCTTCAGCCTTCCTTCTGCCTCAGGAGAAGCGTTGTTGTCGGAGGTTTCCTCTCTCTCTCCGTTGAACAGTTCATTCAGGGGCACATCTGTTACCATGGCAACAACCACAGAGCCATCACTGGGATATCCCCATAGCGATGGGGAAAACAGCCCCACCGGCCAATGACGGTAATGCTGCATTAATGGAAAACTGACCTCTGCTCTTGGTCTTTCTGTGGCGTATGGTGGCGCAGACCAGGTCGCAGCCCGAAGATCGACTGCGGTGGCGTTTGCTGCGCTCCTCGCTGAACCATGCCCCCGAGAGGAAGCGCAGCCGTGTCGGATCCGTCTCCGTCTGCTCGAGAACCCTGCAGCGTTGACAGGAGGCCAAGTTCAACAGAAAACAATCACAACCTCCTGTCTGCATAACACAGCTGATGTCTGCGTACGTCACAAACCGTCGCTGTTGTCACTTCTGTCAGATCAAAACACAAAGACATGCGTCATCTCGACTATTACAAAAAGGTGTGACCTGCCAGGTTCCCATTTACATAAAGACCAAGATGTTTTCTCTTTAAAACTCAAAGCAGAGCTCAAATGAAGTGTCATTAAATCACATAATTGATCTACAGAAGATTGCGATGGCTGACTAATTGTTTAACTGAACAATACAGGAAAATTGCCAGACACTTAAATGTCAGGATGTGCCACTTTTCATTGTTTTTACATCAATGTAAATTAAAGAACTTTAGATTTTGAACTGGTAATACAAGCAATTTGAGGATGTCACCTTCAGCTGAGGATAATTATGACTTGTCTCACCATTTTCTATATTTTAAAGGCTAAATGATACATCAGACAATCAACGGAAAAAAATACTAAAACATGCTCTCTGACGTGGCGCTTATTCCTTTGGAGCGAACTCAAGTTATTCTGAATGATCACCTTCATCCTATCTCTCAGGATAACAATTTCAAAATTTACAGGGGTTCAAAAAGTGGTTTGATAAAAGTGATACGAAGCACACACTACAGTCTTCATCGTCAACCGATCTCAGCTTATCACTTAGAGGAGATTCTGCACCAACAGGGTCTCCACCACCACTCGCAGCAAAACACAAAATAAAGGAATATCTCTTGGAGGAATGAATCATCCCTCTGGTGGAGTTATAGAGATTTGCATAATACATGGCGAGGAGCAGAGGAGCTGAAGGTTCACACTGGTCCAACACCTCACTGAGACGTTTTATGCTGGTTTTTCATTTTATTTATCTCCTGTCTCTGTGTTTGCAGTCTGACTCACTGGATGTAGATTGCGGGAATAAACCTGCCACTGGCTACACATTTCACGTGGCTTTTCAAAATCCTCTTCACTCAACAACAACCTCCAGGCTCCAACCTACCACACTTGAAATGTGAAGTTTTGCTGAGGATGTGGATGGTGCAGTAAGGCGGTGCTGCTAGTTTGTTTTTCTTGTGAAATAATAATTTTAACAACTTTTTGTTGTGCAAATGTTCTACCAGTTCCCTATTTTGAGATCACTACATCCTTGGCTTAGCTTCGTCCAATACAACTGTGATTAAAGAAATACAAAGAAGCCGGAGCAGAAGGATAATGAGGTGCATCCAGACCATTCTGCAGCACAGTCTGGCGAAATATAGCATGTAAGTGCTAACGAATGGGACACAACTGCCTCCTCAAGAGATTAAATAGTCACCTCTGACCTTACACGTCCTTCGTCACGACGACGTAAGTCCAAGTCACGTTGTAAAACCTCCAGGATGGAGGACTGCTCCTCCTCCGTCAGGTGGCTCAGGTCAAGAGATGTGTCAGCCTGCTCCTCCATTCCTGCCAGAAAAGTGCGTATGAGCAACATCCTTACACAAACAAAGCACACCTGGTAATCTCTAATTAAACAGTGCTCTGTCAGTGCTGTTTAATGTCGTGTCGGAGAAGAGGATAAACATACGATATATCGACCTTTTCCTCACATCGTCTTTAAAAAGTTCTACAATCTAAACCTTGTCTAGTGTAAGATTGCTCCAGTTGTTGAAAGTTTTGGTGCATAAGCAACATTTTGACTGCAAACCAGTACTTCCCTATTTTATTGCCTTATGACCTCTCATAATGAAGTGCAGTCAGTGAGCAATTTAGTTCAACTGGAGAGTGTTTTCTCCTTCAGAGTGTTTCATCTGAATGATTTTTGAGGTCTGAAATAGTAAAATAATATTTGTTTTCCACAAGAAACAAGTGAAAATTGAAGAAATCTCTAAGATGATACAAACAATGAGGTCACTATTATGTGCAGCATCGGTATGTTTTGTCTTCAGCCTCATTGTGTAGATCATCTCATCATATCCAAGATCCTGCCTCGTCCCCACCTGTCCCCCAACATCACTGACCAAAGGACTACATGCAATTTTGCACTACTCTATAACTGTCCACATCTTGACCTTTTGCACCATAAATACTGGATATGTCACAGCGAGCTAAGCATTTCATTGCACTGATAACTTGTTTATTGCTGCATATGACAAAGCTTTTGAATCTTTGACTCGTGTAAGTCTTAAGTCACATCAGGTGTATTTTTGAAAGGGTTGCAGACCCCCATGTTGGAAACCACTGCAGACTTTCAATGTACTTGTGTCCGCTTCGTTGCTCAGTACATCCGAGGGCATTTACAAGTGCTGTGTCAGTCGGGCTATTTCTGACTTACATCTTCTTCCTGCTCCAAATACTCTACTGTGAACTGACTTGATGAACTACAAAACATCTTCAACATAAAGGTTAATGATGCTATTTTAGTTGCTGCTGATACTGAGGATGTAGTAAGGATTATTCTGTAAAACCTGCTGCACCATGTGAAAGCAAACTCAGTTGTAAGCTTGAATTACAATCATCTGTTAATCTGCTCGACGCAATCAATATCTCATATGTCTCACGTTTAGAGAATCAAAATGCTCGCGTGTTCAGAGTTACAGGTTGACTACAGTGATGTGAGATGTTCCTGTCACAAAATTCAGGTCAGAAATAGGAACTTGAGGCCTCCTCAGGTATGGAGTTTGAGTCTGAAGAGGCTCCTTATGGAATGTGGAGTAGACTCCAGGTCCATTTAAAGGGATGGATTCACATCTTTGGGAAGCTGTTTTTTAAATGTAGAATTTCTGTTTTCGACAAGAAGAATTCTGGAAGTTTAAACTATCACTGTCATGTCACAAACAAGCTGTCATTGTTGCGTTTTCTCTCCTCCGCACTGTAAAGGAATAAACTCACCAACGAGCCAGCAAAGCGTTTGTTTTAATATTTATGTCTGAGTGCCTTGAGAGTGCCTCTGACAAATGAACGCATGCGCAAAGCCGCTGTCTGTGTAAGCTTGTTAGTTCAGCAAACAGGATATCATGCAACGAGCGCACCACAGTTTTCACAATCAGTGACATCTTAACCCACGCTAGAATAATCATATGTTGCGTGTATACTGCATGATATTGAGTGTGTGATCATTTACTTTCATGAGACATTCCTGTGGTAACTTTTTTTGCTCTGATATAAGCTCCAAAATCGATGGAACAGTTTTTGCGCACGCTGTAGTATTTAATGTTTTTATTCATTTTTAATTTTTTAAAACAGATGACTGAAGATTTTCGTCTTGTTAAGTTGCACAAAGTGTTGCTTTAAGTAAAAACAGGGCCGTGCAGTAATTCCCTCACCATGAACACCGCGAGAGAGAGGACACCTGTCGCCAACAACTATTTCCTTCTGGATCACAGGTTGCCAACTCCCTCGTGTCCGATTCATTCTAAAGAAAAACACGCAAATAAACACAAAACCCAAGTCAAAAAAGAAGTGGTGTTACCTTTACTTGACGGCCTCCATCGGTTCCATCTGCGAAAACTTGGGTGAAAACTTTCCCTGGCGTGTGTTTGTGTGTGCGTCCGTGTGCGTCGACGTTTGTGTACCGAGTAAACGCAGTGAACACGCCCTCAGCAGGGCTGCAGTCAGCTGGGAGCCCAGAGGAACAAACACAACACACACACACACACACACACACAAGGGAAGAGTGTGTGTGCGACACGGTGTATGTGTGTGTTTGTTGTAGGGTGTCGTACTGATATAGTATATTTGTCAGACTGTGTGATTATGACTCACGCACACACGGATGTCTCACCAAATGGCAGGGTGAAGGTGGGTTGTGACTTTCCTCCTTGTAGCAGTCCACACCTGCTAAACACACACCTGGCCACAAACACTGAGGCTACACCTACTCCTACTGTACACACACACACTCACACACACACACACAGCAGATCTCTGTGCTTGTTTTAGAACAGAAGAAAGAATAGCCAGCAGCAAGAAAGCAGCTTTAATGTGGGCTCCCGGTGATGTGTGTGTGTGTGTGCTGGACTTCCCTTTCACTCAGTGGAAATGTGTTGAGGGGGAGGGTGCATTCACAGCGAGAAAAGGCCCATTTTCAGCCCTGTCCTTTGTCAACACACTTGGATGACAGCCACTGTCTGCTCAGTTGGGGAAACCTTTTTTTGTGTGGGCTTATTCAGGCCTGTAGGTCCCTGGCTCAGATGGAGATCGGGGCGTCCAACCAGCTGCCCTGCTGCTCCCCTAAAGGCCTCCATCAGAGCTCTGTCAGAGCTGCATGCTGTGGTTCGCGCTGACCGAAGAGAAGGTGATTCATATCATCAGACGCAGCCCAATCAGTTCACTCCCTCTGCTGGGATGGGCAAATATAGAACTCAGCATGCGTTGCATGATCTTGATATACAGGAGTCTTCGGAGGTGGTGGTGTCGGAGAGGAAAACGCTGAGGAGGCTACTCGGTATTATAGTCCATGCTTCTCATTACATGCATTCACGCTGGTGTCACATCGGAGCAATAAACCGAGAACACCGAGGTGCAGCACAGAACACCACAGGAGGCCTTTTCTACCATCCAACTGTGTGACTCCTGCCCATTGTGCAGGAATGACAGCTGAAACATCAAACACTCAGATCTGAACTATAGCATCAATGCCTGTGAAGATTCTCAGTCTTCCAGGTCATGGTTATTCTCGTAGATTAATCGTAGCAACTGGACTTGCTTGAGTTCTTTGAAGATTTTTCACCTCTCATCCAAGAGGCTTCATCAGGTGTTATTCAAGTGTTAATGGTTCCTTAAGGATATAAGTGTCTGGAACTCCCAACTAGTCAGTCAGAACTGATGAAGCCTCTTGGATGAGAGGTGAAACGTCTTCAAGGAACTCAAGCAAGTCCAGTTGCTACGATTAATCTACGTGAATAGCATCAATGTTATTTGAGTGCAATATTAGTTTCAGCAGAATGTGTAACATCAATTTCCATGTGCAATATCTTCATTTAACATACAGTATATCAATTTCATGTGTATTATTTTAAAAGAAACATTTGCAAAAACTCTTTATAATGTGCAATATTCCAATTTCATTTGTAATGTTTCACTATCATGTGTTAAATTACTTTACTACCTCAAATGTTGCCAGTATTACTTATCACTTTTCTATTTTCGTCTTAGTTCAGCTTACTTATTTTTATTTTTGGTAATGTATAGTTTTGCTTTTCTACTAGGCACCGCATTCTCTCATGTTATGTGATTTTGTTGTCTGAGCAATATCTAGCAAAAGAATTTCCTTTGGGATGAATACAGTTTCAGCTTATCTTTTCTCCACATGCAAGCAACAAGGACACAAACACTAAGAAGAACAGGTGTTCATCCATAATTTATTCAGGCAGTCTAATGGCATCACAAATCAAATAGCTCATATTAAACAACTATCTAACCAGCACTGACATAATCACATCTCCTTGAACTGTTCTAACTGGTATTAAAGGGTTAACATCTATATATTATAAATATGAGCAATCGAAACACAATTCTCCTCTATGAAAACAAGTTTATGTTTAAAAAAAAAGAAGAAGAAGATTCTAAGCTATTGACACTTCAAAACACCCAAATCAAAGTATTGTAACAGTAGAGCCATACTGGAGGTTAGATGTTAGATTGCCGTGAATTATTTTCTAAGAGACAAAGAGTCTTCAAGGGGGCCTCTCCAGGTCCCTTACTAATTTATTGCACTCACTACAAGTTAGCATAGAAAAATGAATATATTAGCCTAATAAATATTTAAACTTTCGGTTTCAAGAAAACACTATAAAGTTTTTAAACTGCACATTAAATATAGAAGTACTCTTAGATGATGAACAGCTCCAGAGTCTCATTTTGATCTATTTCAGGGCTCTTAAAAAAAAAAATCAAAATGCTTGCCATAACCTTGTCTGACCTACTGGTCTTCATGGGATTAGATCACTACTTTCCCACAACTGCACTGCACTATGAAAAGGACACAGCTAGGAACGCTCAATTGATACAGCTCAACTCAAACACTCAGATTTATTGTGGGTTTGATCACAAAGCTATCGAGGAAATCTCTTTTGTAAGGGCTACAGTGAATGCATACACAGACACTCATTACACAATGCAGTATTTTAAGAAAAATGTATAAATACACCAATCCCCCCAAGGGTTGCATATGAGGACCAAACCAAAAATGACAGGGGGCTCAGAGGAAAAAAAAAAAATCTTGCCGTCACAACTGGATGAGTCACCGCTCCGCTGTCGTCCAGCCTCGTCAGTTTGTCCTTCACGTATCTTGTCTTCAAGTCTGGCTACTCTCTGTGTGAAGACAGACAGAAAATTGGATGGACAGATGGGATTTGTGATCAGAATCTCAATACAATCTAAGCTAGAGATGCTGAATTGCTTGGTAAGGTACAGTGTGTGTGTCGTTAACCATTCCTGCCACCAGAGACTGCTGTTGCACTGACGCAGCATCCCCTGACACAGACACTCAAGATTCTCTGCTCCCTGTAACACCCGCATGCAACAAACTCACATGGGGTCATAGTTGGTCTTCTCTTTGGATTTCAGGAAACGCATGGCGGTGAGGACGCCCGCCTGCACAACCAGCACAAGCACGATGCCTCCCACGAAGCTGGGCATGCTGAACTTGGCCTGGGAGAACTGGGGGGGTGAATTCTGTCCGTCACCTTGAAGGGAAAGGACAGAGTTTAGTGCTGCCAGGGATTTGACTGGTGAAAATGGCTTGAGTGCCTTTTGGGGGGGGGGGGTTGTGCTCGACTCTGGTGGTAATACTGAATGTCTGACGCAAAAAGAGAGAGAGAGGGGAGGGAGTGAGAGAGGATGCTGAGGCAGAGACAATCCAATTTACCTGAGTCACCTTTGCCATCTCCGACAACGGCAACAGTCTCGACAACTGGGGAGAGAAATATGCGATAGAGTCACTGGGGTTGACAGAGGAAGGATTTTATGGCTGTTGTTTTGTGTGGGTTGTTTCTTACATGGGCAAAGACCAGAATCTCTGGTCCAGCTGCAGCCGTTGCCGGAGTCGGCTGAATTGCCCTTGTCGGCCACACACGCACCTGTATCATTACCTGAGACAGAAAGAACACACATTTCAGTGTGTTTGAGTGCCTCCTGGCAAACTAAATAATTCAGTCATCTTGTACAAACCAGGGGAGCTAATGTTACAGCAGCTGTGATGATTGAATTACTATCAGAGGTGTGTGTGTGCGTGTGTGTGTGTGTGTGTGTGTGTGTGTGTGTGTGTCACCATTTGGACAAAGCTTCCAGACGCAGCCTGTCGGGTTGAGCACGGGGTCTCCGACACACGCGTCACATGACTGGGCTGGAGCACAATCTGTAGGAGGGCGGTTAACTGGTTAATGTCAATCAAACCCAATTTATTCGCCAGTGCACAATTATCCTCCCACAGAAACACTGTAACAGCTGCATCACTGCGAGACGTCCTACCAGTTTGAACGGTGGGTAAAACAGTTTTTTTTTAAAAAGGCACAAGATTGTAATGACAAGGAAGAGATGGTACTGGATCCACAACCACCTTCACAATGAGTCACAAGAGGATGCTGCAGTGTTGTCAGGGGGCCAAGATATAATCAAATAATCAAGGAAAACTGCCAGGCACTAAAATGACAGGATTTTCCTTTTTTTCTTTTTTTTTTTTTTTAACACCACTGTTATTTTGTTATCGTTGGGTTTTGGATAGCTGGTCAGATAATACAAACGATTTGAGGATGTCACCTCGTCTCACTATGTTTCGGTGAACAAAATGCGTAAATTAACCTCATGTTATAATACGTATGAATTTAAAGATTGATCCAAGTCTGACTAAAGCAATAGTGAGCTGAACATCTTTTCAGTTGTAGACTGAACTAAACAAGCATTTGAAAGACCTTCTGGACCTGATGAAATTACGATGGACATTTTTATAGATCAAACAATCAGTTGGTTAATCAGGGAAGAAAACTAATTGAAACTATTGCTGGTTGCAGCTCTTCAACATCAGTTTGTTTGTTTTTTTTAGATACAGTAGCTCTTCTGTAGGCAGAAATCATTTCAGTAGTTGATCTAAAATTCAAGCAAGTAAAGCCAAATCATTTTATTTTGTTGGTCAAACAGTTTTTGTAATGTGGCTAGCTGTAGTTCTCTGACAAATCTTCAAACATCCAACAAACAAGAATTCAGAGTTTTTAGCCCAAAACTACAACACATAGACATGAGACAGATTCAAACAAACCCCTGATTTAAGGTGGATAAAAGACATAAAGAATCCACATGTTTTTCTTAGATGTGCATCCTGCTGCATGATGAAGTTAAACATACTCTATCCTGTTCTCTGACATGGAACTTAACCTCTTACAGGGAATACAAGTTATTCTAAATGGATTAGATTCGTCCTTTCTTGCAGGATAACAATTCAGAAATGTAACAAATGGTTTGATTTAAATGTGGACTCTGTAGTAGTCTTCATCATCAACAGATTAACACTTAAGGCACATTTTGCACCACCCACCAGTGCTCCCCTCCACCACCAATAAAACACAGAATATAGGAAAATCTTTAGGAGAAATGTTCCCTCCCCACTGAGACAATTTGCTTTATGGGGAAGATTTTACTCAACTGTTGCGGGAAGGCTAAATGTTGACGTGAGTGAGAGAGGAGGGGAGGGGAGGAGGGGTGAGAGTGGCTGCTGAGGCAGAGACGTTTTAATTTACCTGAGTCACTTTTATCAGCAGTCTCGACAACTGGAAAAAGAAAACATGCAAATGAGTTACCGAGTTGGCGAGAGAAAGATTCCGTGGGCATTTCTGTATTGTGCATTGTTTCGTACGTGGGCACAGTTGAGAAATTCTGGTCCAGCTGCAGCCCAAGCCGGTGTCCGCTGTATCGCCCTGATCAGTCATACACATGCCTGTGTCGTTATCTGAGGCAGAAATAACAGGAGATTTAGTGTGTGTTTGACTGCATCCTGGCAAAATAAATAATTCAGTCATCTTGTACAAACCAGGGCAGCTAACGTTACAGCAGCTGTGATGGTTGAATTACT